CCACAACAAAGGAGAATCAAAGAGAGGTAATGAGAAAGCAGGAGGAAACAACAGTGTAGAAATGCATATAAAGGCAAGTATGAATAGTACATGTGTTCAGGGAGAGCAGAAACATCTGCTAGATGTTCAATAGGGATTTGGGTAAGAGTACAATGATAGTCCATCAGGCAAGGAGGAAGGGGAATAGTTGATAAGGAAGGAATGAAAGAGGCAGAGAATGGAAACTGTGAAAGGTGAAGGAAATATTGCCTAAAAATCCTGAGATAGAAATGACTTACAGATCATGGGAGAACCATCTTGTGAAGGAAAAACATTATGATTAAGTACATCCCATACAATGGCACACAGAGGTAGACGGAACACCTCCACATTCAATGATAAAGGAATGTTATATCTTGAAGAGAGAGAGCAGTGTGTGGGGATGGATCAGAAGGGAGGGAAAGGGGGAAGACAGGGCTGAGACTTGAGGAGAGGGAATAATAGAAACAAGGTTGGGAAGACTGTGAGGGGCCACCAATGTATGCCAAAATAGAGCAAGGACCTGAGGGAGGAGATGGAGAGAAGGACATGCAAAGTAAAATGATGGGACAGACCAGACTGAATGTATAGACAGCCAGGGTTGAGGAATGAGGCACAAGAGATAGAATAGACTAGTTAAGAGGGATGGCAAGGCAAAAAAAAAAAGGAGGAACAATGAGAAAGCAGAACAATGGAAGACCAGTGGGTGAGGAACCAATCTGTAGGTAGGACACTGTCCTATCGAGAAGACAGCTCACAACAAAGTGCAATGCCCACAGAACATGACAGGCTTTGAACACATTCAAAACGCATAGACTCAGAAACAAGTCTGAACACTATCTTCTAGATGTATTTTTACAGAAGTAATGAAAGAAGATTAAATATTATCTATGAAGACTACATGGTATGGAGTAAGTAAAACTAAAGGTTAATATGGTTGTGTACATGACAAGGAATAAGTAAACATGACTAAGCATTATCTTCCATATATACAAGCAAAGTAATAAACAAGAACTAAACATTATCATCTAGGTATACGTTTTAATGAATAAGAAACTAGAATCAAACATTAATAGTCATGTACACATGGCAAGATGTAAACATCATCTTCCACCTGGACATATAAAGGAGGAATAAACCAGAATGAAATATCAATGACTGAGTTACATGGGAAAGAGCAACTAACTGTAACTAAACATTAACATCTATGTTTACATGATACGGAATAAGTAAATACGACCAACCAGCAATGTCTATGTGCACATGTGAAAGACAGATGAACTATGACTAAACATATTAAGTGATATATGCTAAGGAGTAAGTAACTATGATTAAACATTATAGTTTAAGAAGTATTACAAGTTAAGGAGTAATAAACTAGTTCTAAAGGAAATAACATATGTGAACATGTTAAGGAGTAACAAACAATGCCTAAACATGAAGTCCTACGACTTACATGTTAATGATGAATAAACTATATCTAAACAATAACATGTATGTGTTACATGGTAAGGCAGGAAGGACAAGGCATAAAACAGAGAGAGTGAAATGAAACCCAAAGTAAATGCCAGGTGCAGCACTAACAAGATAGAAGAAAGGAAACAATGCATAGAAAGCTTATACAAGGTGGGAAAATTGAGTTATCCAGTAGGTAGAGAAGTACTGGGTGGAAAGTCATTCAATTTCATCCTTTTCAGCTTCAAAATCTGTGAACGGAAAAGTGTGGCAAGGACTGAAGAAGAAGGTCCAAGCAGCCACATGGACCCCACCACACAGTGAACAATGTGATTTATTCCTCTTCTGACTGTATTTTCAACCTGACCAGCACCTTCTGCAACATACAATGGCTGTCATGGTCTCACAGGCAAGAACTTCCCAAATTTTTGGTAACAGCGAGTGAGAGCTGTACTCACATCAGCAGAAAAAGATTTCATAATAATCTGTGAATTATTACTGAAACATTTAAAATATGAAGTAGTTACTTCAACGAGTCTCGGGAAAAATATACACATCCAAGCACAACCATGGCAAGGAAAAGAATGTACCATTTTGTGTGTGAATGTAGAGGATGCATTTGCACAAGAAGGTGTGTCACACTCCTATTGTGGAGTGTTTTGCTGTATGATACATCATCATGCAGTAGCACAAATTCACATGAATTTGAAGTGGGAGTTTTAACAAACATGGCGGCATGCAAGTCTCTCACACAGATTAGTGCAATTTCAAGAGGAAAATAGCTTTCTGCGTATGTAGGTGAGTGATCATATCAGACATTTTAATTTTCTATTGATGTTTACTTACAGTTGCAACTGTAGTATCTTTATTAAAGTTTTTTTGGTGTAATGTGCAGGTACAGTTATTAGTTTATTTTTTTTTCTGAAGTGAAATTTAAATGTTAATTCTTTGTATTAATCATGTATCATTTGGTACTAGCATCTTTGTTTACAGGTTATTAATTACATAACATATTCATTATTAAAGTTGTGTTGTATGCAAGTGTTTACATGGGCATAGAAAGTTGCCATGCATGTTTAGATTTTATTGGTTTTAGACTTCAAATTAATGTTGATTTGAGGATAAGTTTGAAGGGGTTGAGGATTTGTGGCATATAAACATAATATTAATTTTCTACCTCCTTAGCTTAACCCTTTTACTACTGCACTGACCATGTGACCATCAGTTTCCATACTATGACTTTTAACCTGTTTTGTGCATCTTCACAAAATTTTTTAGTAAACAACTTTTTTTGTAGACAAAAAACAAAACAAAATCAATTAATTAAGTACTTTTAACAAATATCTGTTTATTAATATATGGGGTCAAAGTGTTGACATGGAGTCAGTAGTGAATGCTCCAAATGTAATGTGATTCCCAATTTAAGATTAAAAACACTTTTCTTTATCTAAAAATTATTGAATTTCATTTTCATAATCTCTAAAACCTTGTAAATATAAAATGTTCTTTTTCACTAAAACTTTATATTTTGTTATTTTCTCTACCCTAACTCTGTACACATTTAGTTAATTTTACCGAATTAATAACCACCATAAAAAAAAAGCAAAATAAAACAAGTAGTACTGGTCTATCTTTTTTGATATTGGCTATGAAGTTCTAAGGTACTTCTGAGTTTCTCCTTCTAACCTTTTCACATCTATTTTACTGTTAGCAGCTGAAATAGGAACCTGCCAAATAAAGTAATGAATCACCACTCCTGTCATTAGACTGTTTACGTGACACTGTAATACACTACTGTCAATAGTAAACAAACACAATTATCAGAGTTTATTGTAATTTTGGCTCCAAGAACACAGTGGGAGAGGATTTATTGGGTTGTTTACAGTAGAGTGGTTGGAACAAGAATTGTCTAAGATAATTAAAGTGTGAGAATATGGTGTGATATGGCTTTGTACAAAGTCCATGCAAATCCAATAAACTTTATAGGTCTTTGGATGTTAGTTATCTTCCCAGGATGGTTGAAATTTAGCAGTATAGATGTATAAATGTGTAGATGCTTATAAACATGTATGTATATATATATTGTTACTATTTACTTATGAATGCTTAATTTTTATTTATTTTTCTTAAAATACGAAAAATAAATAAAAAATGTATAGAAAAATAATGATTTTTTGTACTTATGATTTCAAAAAATTGATTTGTACTCACATTTGGTACTTGCTGTAAGCCTCATTTATTCTCTTAAGTGAAGGAGGAAGATAAATTAATTTTCGTAGATTTCAAAGATTCATTTTAGGAAAACAATTATCAAATTACTATTCTAATACACATGAAATCATCTGGCTTTCTAAATAAGACATATGCGAGTCTAAAAAAAATCTCATTTCTGCTCAGAGCAAAAACTTAGTCAACAGACTTCAACATTTCTAGTAAAAATCCAACTTTTTCGTTCAAGCCATTTAACGACGATTGTCAGGTTTAAGTAGTTTGGAATGTGTTCTTTCTATTGGTTATAAGCATGTACTTAAGAGAAGTAGGCATGGTTAGACAAAAGGTTTCAAAAGAATGGAATAGTGGGAGGGGTTACTCTGGTAGGTTTACTAAACATATTGATGTCTCAGCTAATAAAAAAGGTAGGAGGTTCTTATTTTATATTTTAGTTTGTCAATTTCTGAAATTTGAGTTTGTAATTTATTAGCCACTATAGGCATTGTATGGTAGACATAATACAATATAAATTCACCAATAAGGCAAGAGGACATGCAATGTAACATAAAAAAAAGGATATTTAGCTTTTTTTAAATTAAGAAATTAAAACATAAAATTTGAATTATAAACTGTTTTGATGCCAATTTTATTGACATACATTGATAACAAAGTTGTTTAACTAAATTTTGAAAATAAACTCATAGCAAGCACTCTTTGACCTGTCCATAGCAAGAGGGTTAATATTATATTTTTGTAACTTGTTTAGGTACATGCAGTTTTCACACAGTACGTGGTCAAGAAAATCATTAGGTTAATTTTGTTCAAGCTGCCTTTGTTCTGTTATCATTCTTTGGAAGTAACAACTGTTCTTCCAATGGGAGGCATGGTTCTAATGCTGCACCTTGTGCAAAAGTGTAGAGAGCAGTATCCTCCAATGATAGGTGATATTTCTAGGTTACAATCTCCCTTATGTTTGAATGAGAATGACAAATAAAGCAGAAGCACAAGTTGATTTAAATAAATTTGACATTACCTGTTAAATTAAGAATGTTAAATTTGATAAAAGTTTTATTTAGTTCCACATAGAAAGAGAACATCTCCAATACAGTAGAAGTAACAGTTCTAGCAAAGTAGAAGTGACAGACCACTATCTAAGCAAGTACACCTACTGTGTTTGTTTTTTCTATTACAATAAAGATTGGGCTTTTGTATTTTACATTGTGTCCAGATTCTTTATTTCATTCTCATGAATCCAGGAATTGAGAAAAATTAAGTATTATTCTGTAACAAATATATCATAGGATATACCACAAAACTACATTTAAAAGTGGTCTTTAATAGATTCACAGGTTGAAAGAACAAACATAATACACTGAAACTGAAAAGAACAATGACTTAAGATATTTTTGAGTAAAATGGAAGGAATGTTTCACTTCATATATTTGTCATCTTGTTGAGCTAGTATCTTAGCTGAGGATTTTGCATCATGAAATAGTTCAGCAACCTCCTTGATATCATCCTTTTTAATGGAGACTCGACCACTGACTTTAGCAAACAATGAAGCCGGACTTAGCATCTGCACAGCATACCTACAAACACATTTTTTTATATAATGTAGCCATTACTGTTGAGGTAACATTACAATATTAATCAATAAAAATAAAAAGTGGTTTTACTGGTCAAGAAAAAATCAATATTTAACTATTACAATTTCTAATACAAATGATATTAGAGATTAAACACTCATCTATAATTCTGACACTTGTTAACATTTTTTTAAAGGAAATTAAAGCATAACAATATTTTATCCAACAATAAAAATAATGAAGTAATATGTGCATGTAATATTAAATTACAATAAAACTGATAATAATGTGTATACACTAATATTTCATCAGTACAATGTATATTGAACACCAAAGTTATATCTTAAAGGATGGTATAAATACTTTTTAAAATTAAGATTGTATGTTGTAACTCAGCTAACCTGTGTTCAGCAAAAAGGCCTTACCAGCAATGTGATACAACTAGAACTGAATTACTATTATCCTTTCTGTAAACCTATATTAGGTCAATACAGAATGATGTGACTGAAAATATTTTCAGTCATACTGTAATGCAATATTACATACACCTTAAAGCTAAGTGTTATGCTCCATAAGTTAATGCATTCCACACCCTAAAACTAAATAATAGCTTACTTCATTTTGCTTAGATCCTCCTATATTAACTCTTACATTAACGTGATATTTTCTGACATTCTATATTTTCATAAATTCACAAACTTACTAAATTTGGGTTTGAATAAATACAAATAAAATAAGGAGTGAAGAATCAGTTATTTATGGTTTTATCAAAGTAGGACATAATATTCATCTGTATAAACAAATGAAATTCACAGATTCATATTTTTGTTACACATAAACAAGCAAGTCATTACAACAATATCTTGCCACCACTAACTTGCTTTTATATGTTACCCACGTGTTTCCTGCTCACTTAGTTGATTAATAAAACTTTCAAAATTTCTATGCATACTGAGTACTTTGTTTTTAATACAAAAAGTGTTAAGGGAACCACTAAACTCTTCCCACCCTTGTTACTCATGGATTTAAGTCAGTCAAGAAGGGTGTCCTATGTACTTTCTTGTGGGAAAAGAGTGCTGTAACTGTGTTTTACTGTGTACTGCTTGTGTCTAGTCTCTTTCTTTGTATCAAACTCAGTCAAAGTCAGATTTCTGCTCTTCAATACATTCTATGGCAAGTCCTCAGTTATCCCATGGTTCCTACCCAATTACTCAATGGAATTTCTGTAAAACTGAAAATTCTCCAATGAACTGCTAAGACAGTTACTAAATTTTTATTTTGATACTGATTGAATAATAGATTCCAATCCCAATTCTCAGTATGAAGTAGAAAAAAAAATTCTACACCCAATTTAACCTTATCCCACTCAAAGCTTTAGTTATTTTAAAAAATATGAACCATTTAAGTTCAGTAAGTTGATTTTGAAACAATTCTATTAAAAAAAAGTTCTGAATACTGAAAAAAGGCCCAAAAAGGAACACCACCCAAAAGTTCTGACATTATTTTAATTGCCACTTCTTCTATGTGGTTCAGTGGAGTTGCTGATGATTATATGAAACATAAAGTCCCTTCATTTCTCATTTAGAGATAGAACATTTTAGTTTGTTATGAATTTCGCACAAAGTTACACATAGTCTATCTGTGTTAACCATCCCTAATTTAGCAGTTAAAGACTAGAGGGAAGACAGCTACTTATCACCACCTACTGCCAACTCTTTTAGCAACTAATAGTGGGATTGACAGTCACGTTATAATGCCCCTGCAGCTGAAAGGGCGAGCATGTGGATTAAAAACCCGCTACCCACAGATTGCGAGTCAAGCACCCTAACCGCCTGGCCATGCTGGGCCTAGAAACATTATACAGCTGTATCTCTGTGCTATGTATCACCCCCTGTATATTATAAAAGTATTAATGTCCAAATTATCCTAGATATCGGGCTAAAACTCTGTTCATACATTCGGTCAACTTTTTATATTTTAGTTACTTTTATTTAAAACTAGCCAAAGTACCCGGGTTCACTCAGGTTATTAGGTTGATTTATTCTAGATGACTATGTCAGTGTGTGTGTATTTTCAACACACTTTAGTATATCAGTTAAAACCTATATACTTTTGTTGCTCCTTTACGGGATGTGGCCTGCTTAAAAAGGTAACTTTCCCTCTGACTTGTCCTCCAATTTTAAACTTAAATAATAAAAACAAACCCCTTTAATTAATGAAAAACAACAAATATTTTTTTCAATTTTGTAGTTTATACATTTCATTTTATACTTTCAGCATGTAGCCCCTAAACAACAATATTAGGTTGTACTTTTACTGCTAAGCAACATGATATAAAAGCCAATGTTAGAACGCATTGTTACCAAAATGCACTAGCATTTCTACATATTAGAAGTTGTCATGTAGGGAACCACTTCTTTTCAACATGGTTTTTTGCTAGCTTGCCTTGTTAAAAAAATTTGCATGTGCATCTCTGTCTGAGCTATATATATCTATAATTTGTAATATAAGAAACCACTTCTTTTCTTTATGGTTTTTCCACATTATAACATCCCATAATAGTGAAACACTCTTATAATGTCCTACAATAGTTAAAAACTACTGTATCACATCCCATAATAGTTAAAACACTAACATTCCAAGGCAGTCACATTTCTTTTCTATGTGGTTTTTCAAATAAAAAGATGTGCATGTGTGCACACACATGAATAAGTGATAATATCCAGGTGTGCACCCTCAGGGTACACACTTAGTATGGGTGCAAAACTTCAGATTTCTAGGTTGTTTGCTTTTAGTGCTATGACTGTCACATATTATTTTCTATGTGGTTTTTTTCTAGCTTGTCTCACAAAAAAATGTGCTCACGCATGCACGTGGATAAGTAATAATATCCAGATACACACCCTCAGGGTCCACTTAGTATGGGTGTGAAATTTCAGGTTTCTAGGTTTTTTTTTCTCATTGGAGCTATGGCAGTCACACACACACATAAATGCTTTTTATTATGATAGATAAAATATATACATAAAAACAAAGATCTGTAGTACTTACTGCTTCCTGCAGTCTGTTTGCATTCAAGTAAAAACTGAAGACATTTTTTTCCATAAGGCTCATTGTTTTTTCAAAAATTTGGGTGTCCAAAAAAGAATATCTAGTTTTCAAATATACATCTTATAATGTAAATAATATATCAGTCACTAGAACAAATTGTCCCAAAACTACTATAATTTATCTTACTTTGTAAGTAAGCTACAAATAGGTTAAAAAATTCCAGGTGTTTGGAATAGGAATATAATGTTCACACACGAAGAAAATATCACAGATTGTTATTCTATGAATGCCAAAATCAAATATTTGTACTGAGCTTTATGTTAAAAAATCTTCTCTCAAAAGTCAGAGAGAGAGAAACAGAGGAGGGTCTTCTCTGATGGGTTTGACAAGTTTTTTGAGCTGAGATAAATCAAGAATGTTAATACTCTGCTTGCACAATAAAAAATAACTGCATATGTATTATAATTTCTGGATCACCAAAAAAATACACACTTTAAAAACCTTGAAGTATCATGCATATGTAAAACTTTCCCATAAAGCTTTTTCTTTGAACAATACCTTAATGTTGACTTTGTTCCGAGATCCCCAAGTGATATGAGGGATTCTTCATCAATTTCAATTCCTTCAGTCTGAGCTCTTATTCGCAGAATCTACATAAAAAACATTTTAAAACAAACTGAGTTGAACCTAAAGTTCTGACAGGTTATTTTCTAACACGTTTCCTGGAGTAGAATTAGTCAATTATGGAAACCACAACTATTCTGCATTTTAAATATTGCACCACAAACTGTGCAATTCTCAGGGATTAGCATGCTTTTTATTAATATTCCAAGTTTACAATAAATACAGAGTGATAAATATGAATGTTGTAAACAGCTATAGGTTTATTTCCATTTACGAAAAAATATTACTCTGACTTCAGTTTCACAGGCTTGTAATATATCAGACAATAACTTCAAGTTTTTCTCACAGAAAACATACAAAACGTTTTTGGATAATTAACTTAACTCTATACGGCCCTGGCTCTGTTATATGGTTTATTGCATTGCAGATAAACAAAATACTGGATGAAATAGTTTGAAACTTCAGAAAAACTTTCTACACATTATTTAGTTTCTGTAAGTAAAGTATCTTATTTTTCTAAGCTATATTTGTATGAATTCACAGCTTTAAAATTTTAAAGATCTTGTGATTGTTTTAAGAATAACTACACACATAAATATTGCTAGATGTAAAATTATTTTGGACAAAAAACTAAAAACTTTATTAGCTCAGAAAAAAGAAGTGAATGCAGAACATTATAAACTAGATCATTAACAGAGAAGTATAATATCTTTATAAATAACAGTGAAGTCATAAATAAATTGGATTTGATACTAAATGATAAACAGCTAGGTGTTTTAAAGAGAGGTTCAAATTTCTTATGTGGTCCAAAAAAAGGTTATAAAAAAAGATATCATAACTGAAATTGAGACTAACTTGAAAAAATTAAATGTTGAAAAAGTGTGTATTTTTTATATGTGAGTGTTGTACTTTATTTAATAATTTTAAACCCATAAATAATAACAAATTATTTTGGAATTTTGAAGAACTGAGATGTGGTTACTTGCAAGGCTATTAAAGGGGAACAAACTGTAATTACTAATGAAAAAGATTAAGATTCTAAAGTTCAAGAAATGTTGAAAGAAGGTCTGTATGAAAACATAACAGTTAATCCTATAAATAAACTTCATGCAATGGTTAAAGAAAAAATTAAGAACTGTATAACTTTAACGCCTTATGAAAAGCAACATTAAATTCCATGTAATAATGGCTGGAGACGGCTTAAATGGGTAATGAAGAAAAAACTTTATATAACTTTACATA